ATCCTAGTCCAATTCCAGCCTTAGAACTCGAAAATCTACACTCTGGAGCACCAACTCGTCGAGTGCATGAACTAAATCGGCGAGTTGGTTAGAATTGTGAAGGGACTCGGCGAGTCCACTGTCCAGAAAGCTGAAATTCGATTTTTAAAGCATTTCTAAGCAAGTAGCATCAAGTATATTGGAAAACAATCCTAGGCTCTGATACCACTGATGGGTTTTGAGCATTCTAACACTCCTATGGTGTACATGCAACCCTAGATGCTTTGGATCTATGTTTTCTCTAATATACATGCAAACTTTGTTTTTCCAAAGCATCATCCTAACTAGCATACAATGGAGTATCTTTACTACAAAGTTCTAGTTAGATGACATACCTCTTGTTGTAGCTTGCTATCCTTGATGTGTTTGGCCTTTAACAACTTAGCACCAATAGTGTGAATGCCTCAAATGGAATCACAACACACCTAGGACAAAGGATAACTTGAGAGAGAATGGCGTGCTCTAGAAATCGGCTCTATGACTCTTCCAAAGATCACTAGTACACTTTTTACCAACCAAGGGGCTTCTTATATAGTGTGACAAAACTAGGGTTACGCCATGCAAACCCTAATGTGCATGACTTTCCACATTCCTTAGGATCCATGGGTTTTAACCTCCATGGAGTATCCATGGGTCACCACGTGGGTTTAGACCAACATAAAGAACTATGGATCATAAGCCCACATTATAAGAATGAATGATTTTACATAATCAATCCCCATATATTTAATTAGTCTCTTTTGATCACAGAATTAATTCCAAATTAATTCTTGATCAATACTAATTAAGTAATATGATTTCATATTAATATATTAGAACTTATAATATATTAATAAACCATAAATAACCTCTTCTCAAAAGTCCATCCTATCAAATTGTCCTGATGATATGCAACCCAAATGGACCATGCTACTCTCGGGTCAAGTACATACCAATTATAGTTATGGGCTTAGACACCTAATCCAACATGATTGTGTGTAAGATGCTATATGTGATTTATCTATCTTTCCACCTAGAAGTTAGAGTTTTCTTCATGATGGTCTAGACATTTTATCTTGAGAATCTTTTTATGCCATTTCGCATACCGAGATCCGTGTTTAGGAGATATTTGGGTGAGCTAGTCTTTGATTTCGAGGTAGGAGGCATCGGTCATCATCAGAATAAACTTAAAGTGAAAAGAGATCAACATTCGATGGGATCTTTTGTGGTATTAGCAAGAATTCAAGGAATCAGCGAGGTGCGCATGACGGGTATGAATGCAGCACATGTAAGGGTTTTTCCTGTCTTTGAGGCAATGATGAATTGGTTTGATCATGCGCATAAGATCGATAGTTGACAAGTTCATACCTCCGTATTGTGGTTAGTTGCAAGTTCGCATGAGAGTTGCTCTAAGTACAAGTAGGTCATGGAATAGGTTGGGTACCCGTTTCGATAGCTAAGATGTTGTTCTTTGTCATCTGATAAGTCGCGGAGGACTTGTAGCAAAGTCAATAAGAAGTACTTGGGATTGTAGAGCTCTTGGAGAATTCAGTAAGGATTCATCCGGTTTTGAAATGTATGGGATCGTGAAGATTGGCTAGTAATGGAATGTTAGTTCTTGTAAGTTCAGGTGGTCGACACTTTGAATTGTGGGATTGTGAGGTAGATTAGAAATCCATCAAATTTTTTGGACTGAAAAAGAGCACAATGGAACCCAAGTAGGGGATAATTGTTTGGTCTAAGAGTTGCACAAGAATGGATATTCTGGTTTCATTTCACATCACTAGTGACGCTATGTGGTTATGTGATCAGGAACAGGTTAAGGGTGGTGTTAGCGCCTCTCTGCCCGTTCTTGTCTGATTAAGGCGTTGGGGTTCGAAGCATAACCTAAACACCTGGTTGGGGTATAGTTGGATGTGGGTTCGACTCAGGATGGTCATGGTTGGTATGGTAAGTGAGCGGTAAGACAATGGGTTGGGACCATAGCAGTATAGAAGTGTTGTAAGATTGCGGGGTGGCCGTAGCATTCACTACATTAGCAGGTAGTGTGGTAGTGTTGTAAGACTGCGAGGTGACCAGTAACATTCACTTGGTTCTTGATCAGCTGTGAGAGAGTGGTAAATTTATGATTTGGCTCGTAGTTTCCTCTAGGTGGGATTAAACCATGGCAGGACCGTGTTGTCGGATGACTTCTCTTTGTGTTGGTATGAGGATCGTTGGATACAAGGCGAGGTTAGGCCTGTATAGCCTCGATTGGGTAAGACCTGTGGGCGAGGCCCGTTTGACTCTGCAGATTGGGTGAGACATGTGGGCGAGGCTTGTTTGGTTATGATAGAGTGGGAGAGACCTGGTGAAAATTGGCTTGAACAATGTATTGGATCACGCTTAGAGTGGGATGACTCTGTGGTCAATGGTTGGTATCTGTGTGATGGTTAGGATAGGGTAGCCCTTACCAGTTATATTTTTAGCCGAAGCCTTGTGGTGGGACCAGATGTGAGACTGTCAATCTCCGCAATTGATTGGGAAGTTTACATCTCAGTTCAGTGGGAGGTCACCATGGATGCAGGAGAGTTCGAATCGATCGAATTTGCAAAATATTTGTTGGTTATCAGGATGGTGAGCTTTCAAATTGGTTTGTGACTTAGGCATGAGACTTGCATTGAGAGTCACCCTTGACCTCAATTGAAGGATTCATCAGTGATGAATGGTTGGTTATGTTATCCTCGGTTAGACCAAGAGCGTTGTTGTAGCCATTAAGGTAAGCGAGCTAGGACAGATCTTGCCAGATAGACCCTCGTTCAGGAGTCGCATAGTGCGATTGTGTGAGGCTATCAGCCTCAACAACCAATTGGAAATCTAGTAATCCGGTAGATTGGTAGGCGAGCACGAGACCAGGTAGGTCTCGGTTGCATCAGAAACGTAATTATGAGACAACAAGATGAGCCTAAGATAGCTCCCGTAATTGAGACTTATGTTAGGAATCACCTTGATATCAAGTGAAAGGTTTTTCGCAACAATGAATGGTTAGGGATTCTGTTTCCCAGTGGAAACAACAAGATATCCAGGTTTGGAAGGGTTTATGCTCAGTTGGATTGCGAAGTGGAGTCGAATTTGTAGTGATTCAGAATGGTCCATCTGTCAGGAAGTCAGACAAGGTTTGGGATTTCAGATTTCGGGCAAAGTAGTGATGGTTATTCTTCAGTGGTTAACATTAGTGGGGTAAGGATCCGTTTTTCATTAGGATATGAGAGCCCTTCTAAGGTTGGGTTCGATTATAGTTTTGGGAAACTATTGTAGGTATGCGTCAAATTCTCAGTCCGTGTCGGGGTGGTGGGAGTATCGTCCAGGTTGTCGGGCATCTGGAAGGTAGTGAGGAGTGATTTCAAGGAAAAAATCTAATTCAAGTGGGGGAGAGTTGTAACATCCGGTTTCTATAAGGTAAAACGTATATAAATAATTCTTGAGTTTTGGTTGACCACAACGTGGTGAAGGCTCACCACGACGTGGCCATGCTAGAATGTTCGTATGACTTTAATGAGCCCCCACGACGTGGCATTTTTTGCCACGACGTGGCGAGCGGCTGAAGCGTTAAACCCTAATTTATTGGGTATTTAAAGGAAAGAGGGAGGCTAGGGTTCCCCCTGGCCTCCAACACCCTTAAACCTCTATGTTCGTAACCATAATCTCCTTTGAAGCTTTTGAGCTCATTTGGGCCTTTGTGGGTTGTTTTTAGCTCCTTCTTGAAGAAGAAGACTTCATTGGTGTATTGTTTGGAGCAAGCAAGCTTCTTTCCATCATCTTGTGTTGTTGTTGGACCTTTATAAGTTGTCAAGCTTTTACCTTTCTCTTTCAAGCATGCTAGATCTATGTTTTTATGCTTATTTCTTCATGTTGGGTTGAGTGGAATGCATGGAGTCCATAAAGTTGTCAACTTTATGAATTATTAAGGTCCTTTGCTATCATATGTTTCAGCTTTGGAGTTTAATGTTGTTTTAAGCTCCATGCATTATATTTTTAGTGGTATTGCTTCATTTTGACCTAAGTTGGGATCTAGACTTGTTTTGGGCATGCATGTTTGAAAAATAAATGATCTTTGGAATATTTTAGAGCTTTGTAAGGATTATGGAAGGTTGGGGATTAACAGATTAAGGGCTAGATATGTTAAGCTACTGGAACCCAATTCCAACGACGTGGGGTTTGGATGCCATGAAGTGGCGACTGGGGAAGCCTGACTATTTTTTCGTGAAGCTCCCACGACGTGGCAGTGTAAGGACACGACGTGGTGACCTGTCCAGCTGACATGGATCGTTGACTTTGACCAAGTGTGACCTAGGGGTATTTTGGGAATTTTGAGCAGACGTTTGAGACTAGGTCATTGGTTGATGTACAAGTGACTTGAAGAGTCAGAAGTTAGAGCTTTGAATCGTTCAACTATCTTTTTAGCGGATTGATGTGAGTCTCCTCACAGTACTTGCGGGTCGAAGGCACTAATTCCGACCCATTGGATTATCTTATAGTATGCTAGTTGTCTTTGTGACTCTTTCATGTGTTGTCTATATATGTATGTATGTATACCGAGTGGGGCCCAATGTCGGGCAGAGCCCGATGGAAGGCGGGGCCTGATGAATGTATCGGGCGGGGCCTGATGACGGGTGGGGCCCAATATATGTATGTATGTCGGGCGGGGCCCGATGCCGGGCAGGGCCCAATATATGTATGTATGCATGATATGTATGGTATGTGGTATTTCGGGGAACTCACTAAGCTTTGTGCTTACAGTTTATGTTTTTGGTTTCAGGTACTTCCTGCTCGAAAGGGAATGGCGCGGCGTGACTGCACAATATCCCCCAGAGTTTAATTCTACATTGATAATTTTTACTCTGATGTTTATATGCTATTTTTATCTTGAATGGTTTTGAGAACAATTTGTTATATAAATTATTGTTTTAAAAATGAAAACTTTACCTTGGATTTTCGGGATGTTACACACCATCTTCTTCCTCTTCTATCTCAGTGCCAAACCAGTCCTCTATTCCTTGACCATAATGGTCCACATAAAGGGAAATTATACCATCGGTCACATAACCATAAAAAATGAAAGAAGCATAGTCTCCATCATTAAGAATAGCAGTTATCCCATATAATAAGGGCTTACCTGGCTCATAGTAGTATAACTTCTTTATACTTTTTTGCTTGAACCATTCGAGAAAGGTGATAAATTCAGAGTATGTCATTCCAGAAAAATCATTATCATTGAATGTGAATTTCATACCATGTTTATACGAGAAAGGATTTTGAATAAATACATCTTTGAAGTTGAGCTCCACTACAGGGTATAGTCCATTAGGGTTTGGCGTCGAGGTTGACATTGTCGATTGGTTTCCAGATTACTAACTTCGATCGGAGAAAATGTGTTGGAACCCTAGTTTTTTTCGTTCTTGGTCACTAAGAAATGAGGAAAATGAAGAACGAAGAACAAGAGTGTAGTGGTGTCTAAATAAATGTGATTATTTTGACTTCGATTACATACGTGGATAAGGTAAGGTGAGAAATCTTATTTAATATAATGTCACGTAAGAAATACAACCGGTTGTTCTGTTTACCGGGTGAATAAGGGTGTACTTAGTCGGTATTTACTAACATTAAGGACCAATTTAGCACAAAAAACATGAGTGACTAAATGTGCAAATTGCCCAAACGTTGTTCTGCTACAGCGCCAAAAACCCTCAATACTAAAGTCTCACTTAAAGTTTGTTTAAGGTACTCATACGCCACATGTTATATTTTCGACAATATAAAATTTCAACTTTCTTCATTAACTCAATTAATGATGTCATTACATCAGAATTATTCTCAATAAATCATCGAAATTAATAGATAAATTTGAGGAAATTAAAAACCTCAACATAGTTGTTCCGATTAACTTTACTGCATTACTAATCCAATCCCTATAAACTTAACTCAAACCATTCTCTTTATTAGTACATTTTCCAGAAAATTGGACTTCTCTATATCAGAATTATGCTTTTAAAGATCTCAACATGAGATTCCTCCTTTCAAATCTACTCATCCTCATGAATTTAATTAATCTAAAAACAACAAAATATTTGTTCCCCTAACAACATCATTAGCATACATAACTCCCATAACATGTATAATAGAAACCCATTGAATATCACATTCCACAATTTCTACTTTTAGTACCCTAACTTTCAATTCATTTATATATAAAGAATAACATCCCACAAAAAAATGAAATTAATGTTCAATTCTCGACACTGATATCAATCTTCTCATGATATCATGTTCAACTTTCAACAATTAACGCATATGAGTTTTAACTCATCTTTCTTTCTTGTGACAATATGAACATATCTTCAAGAGACATCTGAGTTTAATAAAACTATTACTTTGTAACTCCTACTACAATATATTTATCTCCTCCAATTTGTAGGTTACGCATCGGTAAGACATACAAGCAATAAAATCATCTTTTGGCATTAATTTAGTAATGATATCTATTTCTCACTTGGGTGACAATCTCGAGAGTTTGTCCCAAAAGTACATCAGGTACTCTTATAAAGTTCTTGCATCTTTCACAACTTACTTTCTTGATTCTAATTGCGCTACATACAATATGTTTCATTTACAAACTTTGAATTGTATTTAAGCCATAGGCACCTTTCTGCATAATGTTATTTATCTCGTACTATTAAATTGGATTTATCTGACACTTCAATATCCGTAATCTTTTCTTCATAATTTATTAACTCAAGACTTCTAAGTTTAACCCCTTTAAGTTAAAAGTGCATTTCTTGCGCCTTAGCACTTCTTGTGTCTTAGATTACTATTCATTTCTTCTGAATCTTTTGGTGGTGATCGGATTCAATCAGTAAGGAAAATAATCTCGATGATTTATAACTAACACCTTTCCTTTTGATCATCAACTAATGTCACCTCTAAAAATCAACTCTCCCATGATACCCTCATTCGATTAGGTTAAACGAGTGGTCAGTTGAACAATAATTGAGGAAGACACTAAATAAAATGTTGTATCCAAATTATCACTCAATGTGTTAGAATTATGTTAAAGATATATATACATATCATATCTCCGTGCTTCTGTATTTCCTCATAATCATCAGTTATCTCCTTCCGGTTCATAGCTTACCTTATTAGCCTTACTACTTTCATAGCAGCTATCATAATGAATTTTAATTCATAAACCATTTAATTTGACCAAGGATTTAATAATTGCTCTCGATGCATCTTCCATTAGAAACTTTTCTTTTCCTCGAAGCACATGAACCAGCAACATACAAATTCTTCTTTTCCACACCAAGATCGTTATCCGTCATTGAATCGAAATTCTTTATATTAGCCCCAATTTAAATATTTTAGTCTGCTTTGACATCTCCACTTTGAATATCTCCATATGTTTTATTAGCTCTAACCTATTTATCTACTCTTGTGGTAGCTCTCACTCAAGTAGCCACAATATCTATATCTTCTCGGATTATGCATGATCATGAAATACCCCTTAATTCACTAATATGTGTTTCATCCACGCATTATACAAACTCTATACAGATTGACTTATATATTAATACACAGTTATCGTAATACTCTAACGCTTTGCAAAGATCGATGGTCGGAGGCCACCTCATACACCCACACATACCTAACATGTCGTGTATCCTTTTTATACGTGTCACATAATTTAGTTCTCACGCATCACAAAAATCCAAAAATCATGTGTCATGTTCTCCACTAGTTTCCAACCATAATTAGCATCATCCGACAATCTTTACCGTACACACCAAAAAACTTGGTAGTCCTATCTCAGGCAAACCAAAATCTCTTTATTTATAGTATAACTACTCATTATGCTACTCCAACTGGGACATTTTGCCAAAATTATAACAGTGAACAATTAAAATATTTCACATAAAAACCAAATATGATTGCCTTCCCCAATATGGGATTAAGTGATTCTAATTATAATAACTACCAATTCATGTTTTTAAACAACGCATGGGATTACTCCACACAATTATATTATGTTCTCTATAATTCAAGTTATAGATAATTTAGTTATAAACACCACAATATTCCCTATTTTGTATATTGGTTGGCTAACATATGTCTATAAGGTTTAGTCAGCTAAAAATATCTTCTATACTCTTCGGTTTAAGTTTAGGATTCTACTACAAGATGCATAATTCACTTAAACCATGGATCTGATACCAACTTGTAACATCCGGATTTTTAACAGAAAGTACATCCAAAAAAAATTCACTTGTAATTTATATAATATCTCAGTGTACACTTATGTTAAGAAGTTGGATACAAGAATTTATCAAAAGCGGTCGTATATAATAAAATAATACAATGATCTGTGATACCATCTCTAAGCTACTAAGCTTCACCTCCTTAATCAGTCTATTTGAACATGAAAGTCACAAAACAAATAAAAGGAATGTTATAGGAGATTGGTGAGTAACTTTAACAATGAGATATATAATAGTTATACAACTAATTATATCAATAAACCAACACAACTCAATAAAAACCCAAGGTGCCTTTCAAGTCATGAATAAATCAACATCACTCAATGGACATATGACTTGCTAAAAAAATTATAATAAAACTACTAGCAGTGCAATTTAACTCAATTCACATAAGAGCATAAGGGTTCAAGTATCAAAGCATTTGACATCAAACACATTCGTATGAGAACACTTGTTTTTGTATGTACCTATAAAATCCCTATGTACTCACCTTAGTATCTTGGGAAGGTTGCTAGATGTCCATAATACTTGTGTCTTTCCTTTGGTCCTCAATATTTTCAACACCTATGGAATTCATACCATTCTACATACTTAGCAAAAGGAATAATTTATGAACTCATAAGAGTTCCTAATTCAACGTCCTTACAATTCATGACTATTTAAGACAACATTATAATACCTAACACTTTGTCTCATACTAAAATCATTTAGCTACAATAGTGATATGATGCAGCTTATTCCATAATATGATATGCATAACCAATCTTGTAATATGATGCAACATCCTTGTGTTGACATCCTATAAGTGGAGAGATATTAATTTCTCACTAATCCATGAAGAATTCACTAATTACGTATAATTACATGTTAATCATATTATGCATCAATAACTTTTACTATGGATTATCAACTTCTGATATGCATCAATAACTTGTATTATGATTAATTATCAATAATCCAAGACTAAAACATGTTGATATTCTCAGATAACATGTTAATCACTTCTATGGAGTAATTATCTTAATCTAATTTCATCAGGAAAGTAAGTTCTTAAACTAAAGGGTTTGAGCTAATCTTAAGATTCCTCATTTTTAATCCATTCTAAATATAAGGTATAACATATATTGTTTCCTTTAATTGAGTGGAAAAATCCCTTTGTTTAACCTTGATTAATGCTTAAAATCGTATCCACATAGTAAATGCACCAAGAACACACAAACACACACACACACACTTAATACTTAGAGAGAAAACGGAAAGAAAATGTTTGAAAATGGATTAATTCCCACATTTTACTCGTTTCAAAGTGGTGGAGGATAGGTGGCGACAACAGAGGAGTAATATGTCATGATGGCATTCGTCTACACATCATGTAACCTCTTGGTACGCTTCACGTTCTTAAAAATTGTTTCGTGTAATTCTGAAGTTAGGTGTCGTGTTTTCTACAATTTGAACTCAGCATCGTACTTTCAAACATGTTGTGTAATACGTATACTACGTTTCGCATTTCCTATTATACAATACCCATTTATGTAATAGAAATGGAGTCCACCATGTTTAGTCAAAACAAGCTCGATGCGTTACGCAATTTGTTATGTATGTGTCGCGTAAATTCAGTTCAACAAACTTAGTTGCTTAAATGAATTTCAAACTTTTCCTTAATTTACCTTCTAATTGTACATAACTATAACAAGATCATATCAACTCCAAATTTCCTGAATTTCATATCCATATTAAGGTAGGAAAGAGCTTAACAACTTTCATTAAGTTACTTGGCTAAATAGTTACATGTTTTAATTTGTTCATCCCTAAAGTTAAGACTAAAAACTTTGAAATTCCCATTAGCTTTATATGAAATTTATTTCAACTTTTCAAGATCACATCTTTTCCATTTCTTAACTATTTGGGTTGATTCTTTTTGCATATATTAGTGGTATTGAAACGTCCCAAAAACCATAGTTTGTTTTATTTTCAAATTTACGAAGAAGTAAAAGATAATTTTTTCATAAAATTCAAACATCTTCGAATTAGCTATTTCATAATATGGAATCAAATCAGAGTATCATAACATAACATCT